TGAATCTCTGACATCCTGGCTGCTGTTGCTAGGGATAGCAGGAACAAAGTTTTCTGTGTCAGAATTCCGAATGATGTTGATTCAGTGGTTCATATGCCTCACTTGTGAGGTGTTGGAGCCACTATATTTAGATCTATGCTGGGCGTGAAATCTCTGTTTCTGATCTTCCAATGGATACTTGCGTGATGAGCCAGTAACTCTGGGGTCTTGCGTCAACTTGTACCGTTCTCTTGGTGCGACAGGAGCATGTGCAGAGATATATTTGATAATGTTGAGCGCTTTTAGGCGTTTAGTCTGTAAGTAGGTAACATAAGTAGTCAGCCACTTGTGGATGTGTAGCATATCTAGCTGTAAATCCTTTCTTTGCAGCATAATTTTCAAAACTGTGCCACTTGTCGCTCGGTACAAGTTCGCGAGTGGGATGCGTGGGCAAAGCGTGAGCTGCTTTAAGCAAAATCTGGCTGAATAACCTCTCTTGTTTTAGACAGCCTTAATATAGAAGTCCATGCCTTATGTTTGGTGTGAGGGGATGTATTAGTAGATTGAGGTGCTGGAAGTTGTAATATTGGTTATCCGATTTCTTGAATACAGAGTTGGTAACCGCGACCTTGCTAGCCAGTAAGTAGCGACGAAATCATTTGGAGGCTCGAGTTTTTGCTTGATTTTCTGTAACACCTGTAGGATTAGCAGAGTGGTGAAATGGAGCAGCGTCCAGCGTGAGTCCGCTTCCAGATATGCTTGAAGATAAGTCAAGGTTGCGCATGCCTGAGTGGGTCTGGGACTGAGTGATCTGAATGTTGTCAGCTGATTGTTGAAGCAGTGGCAAATAGGTCTCTATTAGTGGAGCTCCTATTTTCTTGATAATTTGTGCGAATATATCTCTTATCGGGCATCCATTCTATCGTGATGGTAGGAGGTGTGGCGAGAGGCGTCTGCTATTACATTCTTTGCTCCTGGAATGTGACATGCTCTGGCATGTATGTTGAATTTATGCAGATTAGATCGAACTTAATTGAAAACATAGAATCAATGGGATTAGAGGGACCTGGTTGGAGCCTTGTTTTGTTATTCATAAAAAAAGCATGCACTGTTGAGATTACATCTGTGAATCATCAATTGGGCATTCTTTAGTAAGAAGTTATCTCCAATGATGTATAAGTGCGTTTACTACTGCTTACATTTCTAGCAAGTTTATGTGTAGTTTGCTCTCTTGATTGCTCCATAACCCTAATGCCCGTCCTGTTGGGGTGTATTGCTCCCCAACCTTGGAAGCGGCAGCGTCTACATAGAGATGTGTTTTTTCAATTCCGGCTCTATTAAAGATTCCATCATGAGCATTAGATCTCTTGAGTCCACCATAGTAGGTGAGGTTTGGCGTGGGGATTGATGGAGCTGAATGGTTGAGGTCGTTGAGATGAGAGTTGATGAGGACCTGTAATGGCCGTAACTGTAGTCTGCCTTTGACTATCATAATCTTGGGCTGGCGTGGAGTAGACCCAACAGGCTCTGCCATTGTCGTGAGTGGTAGCCCGAGTAAGAGTAAGGCTTGAGGGATTGTCTGTTGGATCTTGATCCATCGGTCCTCGATGCTCGACGATCTGATTCTCGCCCGTGAGAAATCGAATGCCTAGAAATTGCAGATCTTGCGTAGGTTCTAGGTCCGACTTGAGTGGATTTACTAACCATCCCTAGCTGTGTTTGATGATGAAGTTTAACTGTAGTCTGAGGCGGCTGTGGATCTGGATCCACTTGTATCCATCGTTAGAATTAGAGCGCTCATTAGTCATTGGCGATGTAGGTAAGAAAGACGATAGAGTTTAGGTCACTCTTATGTACATGTGAATAACCAGAGGGCGATGAGATTCGAAGGTAGTACTTTCCATTGTAATGCAGCCAGAATCTGAGTGTAAACCGAAGGTATTTCCTGGAGTCAGGATGTATTGGGATGTCAATATATTGCAGATCTATGCTGACTATGTAGTCTGGGACTAATTAAGTGCGTAATTGTGGTAGGTGTATCATGCGAAGCGGCTGGCCGGTTTGCGTAGATGATCTCTGTTGAACATGCTCATATTGTACATGAGGCCAGAAACTTTCCTTGGAATTTTTCTTGGGCACCTAGGAAAACTGGGGGAGTAGAAGCCTGGTTCGATGTTTACTTGGTCCAGTACTTCTATGGCCTGCTTGGTTAGGAGCGTTGATACGCTTCTCTTAACTTTATTAGTTGTAGAGCCTGGAAGTCGAACCTGGAGGATGACTGTCAGTGCTTGGCTGATGGCCTATAGTTGTATTTGATATCCGTGCTGTAGGATGTTGGATACATATGGATCTCTAGGAATCCCCAGTTTCCCCAGTGCAGTTGAAGGCGTCCACCCACTTGTGATGGTTATGCGGCTGGGGGTGGAAGACTCCAACCGTTCGAACCTGTCCTTCATCGGTTTATGAGATTCGCATGGGGAGCCTCTGCATGACCCTCGTCTTCCAGATCCTCCCCTGTAATTGCCATATGGGTGGCGAAGACTCTTTGCTCCTCTTACACTTGCCATCTTCCTGTCCAGTGCTTTCTGTGGAGCCGGAGGGAACCCGATTTGCCTGAGTACCTCTCGAAGTTTGTCTGATAGTAGCTTGCTAAGCGTATCCATAGACTTTATCATGAAGTACCTCTTGAGTCTTTGAGAGACTTCTTTAGAGACTTTGTCTATGTTTCCATCAAAAAGATTAACCAGGTGATGACCAGGGGGCTGTGTGGAGTGATCACGGTGAAGTTATCACCCACTTACAGGAGGCGAGACCTTGGCCGACTGAGCCCATAGCTATAGCTGGGATAGTGCTGTCAAGTGATCCGTTAGGAACTGCTGGTCAGCTTCTTCTGCATGAGGAGGGAGGGCGAGTAAATCCTCCTGTCGTCCTCAGATGTAGAGTCTCAGAACTTCGTGAGGAGAGTTTAGATTGACTATTCTTGATCTGTTCAGACCAAAAGAACATCCTCCTTGACATGGTTTCCATCTGGACTGAGCTTGGGTCATCTATTCTGTAAGTCTTGGACTTGGCATCACTGATCATCTTATAGTTTATCATGTCGATATCTTGTGCCTTGTAAAGGGTCCATGTTGTGACCTGAAATGTCGTACATGTGGTGTCTCTGTGATTTATTGGCTTTACTAAAGGGCTGTATCCAGATAAGCTGCTTTTACGCTGCTGCTCGGGTCAATCGGGAGGTAAGGTGATTGTCAGCATCATCTTCCTTCATAAGATAATAATGTGGGGCTGATTTCTACGTTCTTAGGCGGGGAGGATAGTTCAAGACTATTCACCATCAGTATCTTATTTCCTGCATTTAGGAAAATCACGATACCATCTTCATCTTCTGACATTCGGGTCACAGATAATGTGTTGATGCTCCTCCGATGGTAGTGACTGAGGTGGAGTCCTTGATGATCTGTCACGTGGAGAATCTGGTCGTGGATCGTGAGGTTGTCCGTGGTGAGCAGGACTAGCCAGAGTAAAGCGTCTATAAGGTGACCTTGGCGAGCAGCTCTCGGTGAATCCATAGTGATCTTCTAGATGAGGGGATGACTTGGAGCCCACTTAACCTTACGTGAAGGTTGAAGTCGAGGTCAGTGTGGGATGAGAGGATCTTGCCCATGAGCGTCTCTCTGGTCATCAAGGGTCGAGGTAGGTGAAGCAGTGCGAGTCGCTGTGAAGCCTTCGTGAATGCTGAGGATCAGGAGTCCTTCGTGAGGCGGGCTGGGTGTATGCCCTTGCCCCGCGGGCGTGTAAAGCGGGCTGGAGTACTTCACAGCGGGCGTGTGAGAGGCTGAGCTGGAGTGGCCCTAAGGCGAGCAACTGTGGCCGAGGCTGGAGCGGCCAGCCCTACAGCGGACTGAAGTGTCCGAAGGCTGAAGTGCGCCCGCTATGATGGGAGGTGACTCCTAGAGGCCTCTGTGAACCAGTGCTTGATCTTCCATCAACTTCATTATGTGGTTCATCAGGTGCGTCTGGGGCCGGTCTGCTGAAATGGTTGCTGCCTTTTCTATGATAGTAGTGGCCGGGACCCTCAGGAAGATTCTCTGACATCAGTGTAGGTGCCTCAGACTGCGTGCTGATCTGCGCTGATGTTATAGTTACTTCGACACTGGCGCTTCTTCCGCCCGTAAATCTGGTATGATGATCGGTTGATCATCATCATACATAACTAACTCTGCTTAAAGGGAACAATCTGGCTGAGAAAGTACTGCTGGACTTCGTTGAGTTTCCCCTTTGGCGTGGATGTAGCCCTGGGGGAGTGCGGAGTCTGCGTTGTGGCGGCGTGGAAGCCCTCTAGTCTTTGGCTGCGGCAGCCGGGATGTCGAGGGATGCAGGTAACGCTTCTTGGAGATGGCGGACTCGTCCAGCCTCTCCTCGAGGGTAACTCTAGCCCAGGAACACCAGGCGGGAGGGTAGATCCGACAGCAGTTGACAGGAGTAAGGGCTCGGTGTATTAGCCATGGCTAAAATCTGTTTCACGTGACCTATCTGCTGCAGCGTCTCAAGGCGCAAAATAAATATTATCAAAGGCAGAATTGGATAAATTAGTACAATAATTACAATGTGAAACAGTAGAGCATGGCGTAGTACAACTAGGGCATATTAAATCTGTGGGTCAGCAGCAGAAAAACGTAATTTACAAATGGTGCAGATTTTCATCAACGCAATCTACTGAACAAACAAGGAGTCCCGTGAATAAAACAGTAGAAACCGAATAAATATCAATGCATTATGTTGAAGGATACTAGCTACACCTCTATAGAAGCCTATGAGAGGTAAATAACTAAGAATAAACAAAGGATATAATGTGTAGGGAGACACAGAGCTCCTCTCATCCTGCTCACTGGGCCGAAGAAGGGAGTGAGGCATGTGGCAAGAGGTGGCGCCCTCGTTCAGCGCCAAATGGCTGGGAAGGAGACAACTCTTGGTGAGTACTAATTAGTGATTTTACATTGAAGGGAGCTTCAATTGGGAGATACAAGTGTTCCACTGTGTTAGCAAGAAGAAGAAGACAAACAAAATAGCATGAGTCAGGATAAGGAAAAATTATGTTTTTCTGA